TTCAAATTACATAAACTATATTTTAAAATATTAATTATAATAAATTTCTTACTATCATATTTATTTTTTTTAAGTTCCGGGGTACATGTGGAGGATGTGCAGGTTTATTATATAGGTAAACGTGGGCTATGGCGGTACACTGCACCTATCAACCCATCACAGAGATACTGAGCCCAGCATCCATTAGCTATTTTTCCTGATGTTCTCCTCCTCCTTCACCAACAGGCCCCAGTGTGTGTATTGTTCTGTTCCCTGTGTTCATGTATTGTTGTTGTTCAGGTCCCACATATAAGTGAGAACATGCAGTGTTTGGTTTTCTGTTCCTGCATTAGTTTGCTGAGAGTAACAGCTTCCAGCTCCATCCATGTCCCTGCAAAGAATGTAATCTCATTCCTTTTTATGGCTGCATACTATTCCATGGTATATATGTACCATATTTTATTTATCCAGTCTATCATTGATGGGGATTTGGGTTGATTCCATGTTTTTGCTGTTGTGAATAGCGCTGCAGTGAACATACACATGCATGTATCTTTATAGTTGGATGATTTCTATTCCTTTGGGTATATATCCAGTAATGGGCTTACTGCATATTCCTGGTTCTAGGTGTTTGAGGAATCACTACACTCATTAAAATTAGATTAACCTTCCACAATGGTTAAACTAATTTACATTCTCACAAACAGGGTAAAAGCATTCTTATTTCTCTGCAACAGGGCCAGCTTTTGTTGTTTCAGACTTTTTAATAATCACCATTCTGACTGGCGTGAGATGGTGTGCTGAGGCTGAGATGGATGAACTAAGAGTAGTAGGATTCAGAAGGTGGGTAATAACGAACTTCCCTGAGCTAGAGAAGTACATTCTAACCCAATGCAAAGAAGCTAACAACCATGATAAAATGTAACAGCAGCTGATAGCCAGTTTACAGAGGAACATAAATGACCTGATAGAGCTGAGAAACATACCACAAGACCTTCACAATGCAATCACAGTTTCAATACCTGAATAGAAATCAGAGTAAAGAATCTCAGAGCTGAAAAACTATGTTGCTGAAATAAGACAGGCAGAGAAGATTGGAGAAAAAAGAATAAAAATTAATGGACAAAACCTCTGAGAAATGTGGGATTATGTAAATTCTGAAGCAAAGACTATTTTGGGTACCTGAAAGAGACAGGGAGAATGGAACCAAGTTGGAAAACATACTTCAGGATATCATTCAGGAGAACTTCCCCAACCTAGAAAGCCAGGCCAACATTCAAATTCAGAAAATGCAGACAACCCCAGCAGGATACTCAGCGAGAAGTTCAACCCCAAGATACATAATCATAAATTCTCCAAGATTGAAATAAAGAAAAAAATCTTAAGGGTAGGAAGAGAGAAAGGCCAGGTCACCTATACAAATGGAAGCCCATCAAAATAACAGCCAATCTCTCACCAGAAACACTAAAGGTCAGAAGAGACTGAGGGCTAATATTCAACACTTTGAAAGAAAAGAATTTCCAAGGAAGAATTTCATATACAGACAAAGTAAGCTTCATAAGTGACAGAGAAATAAAATTCTTTTCAGAGAAGCAAATGCTGAGGGAATTTATTACTATCATATTTCATAATTATGATCCAGATAAAAGCTATATATCCATCAGGGTCAAGGCAATTAGAAAAAAATGTGCAAATTGCAATAAATATATTTACAAAAATTACAGTGAAACAGGATCATTTGAGTTTTTGAATAAGTCAATCCAAGCTATATTTGCCCTCTTTTCTCATTGTAAGCCTCCACACAGCAAGAGTTATTATCTTCCCAACATTTAGAAACAAAGTATTTTCTATCTTTTTGTGCTACCTTCTAATCAACTTAAATACCCTCAGCTTGTGTCCAGGTATCATTCAAGTCAAATCTGAGTTTGAAATGCAAGAGAGCAGCTCTCCAAGCTGATTATTTTTTCATGTTTTGATCTCTTGCCATGCAACTGCTTCATAAGGTCAAAATGCCTCAAAGCTTTGACCTGAAATACCAATCATACTTGCCAGCACAGTGTTCTTTATATGACTACAATTGGATGCCTTTTCATCTCAGTCAGGATTTCTATACCCTGCCTCACAATTATAGGTTTTAGCCAGTATGAGAACTTTGCTTATTCTTTATACTAATTATTTAAAAGAATTTTTGAAACAATTGAATGTATCATGTGAGTAGTCATTAATGAAACTGATTTTTCTCCCACAATCATTATAGAAAATATACATACAAGTGAGACTTGTTCTTCAAAGTCACAGCCTTACAGCCCATATTCTTGGAATTTTTGTTACGTAATTTTTATCAAGCTCAATTTGACATGGCTCAAAGAAAATTAATTGTTCTTATATGATAGTATTTCTCTGCTGTCTCTCCTTATCTCCTTTTAATTTCTCTTTCTGGGTAGCTCCATTTCTATCTTCCTATAAGCTCAAAACCCACCAGGCAACATTCGGATTGGTCCTATGACACGTCATTTTTGGAAAGTCAATGCGGGAAAACTGAAACATGAGCTTAAGAAGACTCAAGCTTAGTGTTCTGGAAAACAACTTACATGATGTTAAGTCCTTTTATTTGTTTCTGGCCCACAATATAACTTTGAAAATAAAATTAAAAGTGGATAGTAATCCACAAAAAGCCCTCCAGACTCACTAAACTGTATGACTTACATATCAAGCTCAACCTTTTTCTCCTCAAATGCTTTCAGGTCTGTGCCTTCATTTCACCTTCATAGCATCCCTATGATCAAGTAGAAGAGATACATGCTATAATGCATGTTGGACTTCATTTCATAAAGAAGCACATGAATCAAAACTAGTACTGTTTTATTATAGAGTTTAAAAAGTTGGAAGAGAAGAGGGCAAGTAAATTGCCTAGGTGGCGGTCTCACAACTTTTAGGGAATTAAAAATAAGGCTTCTAATGCTTTTCTACCAACTGGAATAATCAAGTCAGTAATATTTCTATGAGACCTATAAACTTCATCAAAAAGTAGTCCCATTCCAAGGGAATGAGCATATTTATATACTATATTCCTAAGAAGTTCTCCCTTTGCACATTTCAGGGAGCATTGTGGAAAACCAGAACGTTGGGATTCACACACATGTCACTGTCTTCCTATTTTCTTTATACATTTATTCTAGGTTCAGGAGTTCATGTGAAGGTTTGTTACATAGGTAAGTACGTGTCACAGGGGTTTGCTGTACAGATTATCTCATAGCACAGGTATTAAGCCCAGTATCCAATAGTCATATTATCTGCCTTTCTACTTCCTCCCACCCTTCCCCCTCAAGTAGATCCCAGCATATATTGTTCCCCAATATCATCTGCAGATTATATCAAAGGCTTAGTAAAGATGCAGATTTTTAGATCATTGTCATAGCTTATGGATGTAATTTTCTGAGCAAAATGTTTAGGAATATGCATTTTAATTAGCTCGTCAGGGAACTACTATGCGGACTCAAATTTGATAACCACTGCATGCTACACAAATGAACTAGAACATGACCTATGGTTAACAGTTACAGGTCCATACACACATCCCTTAAAAGGGATGCATGTCAAAATAACTTTATCAAATAATAGCAATCTTTCTTAACACAGCAATTGACCATTTTATGGCAGCAATAATCTATGGAAGAAATGGTTACATATGGGAAGAATATTAGTGTTGGGTTAAAAGTATCAAATTAACTAATGTCTCATATATTTATTACATAAATACCAGTGTATTGCAAAGAAACCATGGGCAGATCACATAAAATAAGAGGAATCACAATACAGTAGTAAAGTTAATACTAGATCAATTAACTGCTAAAGTATGTTTAATGGAAAACTAATGGAGTTATCTAATGATTGTGTGGGAAATTATTACAACTTATATTCATATTCCTTCAAATTTTAACTTTTTAATATGAAATTGGATTAAAACAAAAAACGAACTGTGACTGAAAATCATATAGGCTGGTTTATCATATTGTCTTAAATTGTATTCCTGAAGGTAATACTACAAACTTCATGTCTTCAAAAGACATGCCCTAAGAGCTGTTTATCAGATGTCAAGTCTCAAGAAAACAAACTCCCTGCACTTGTCTCGTGATAGAGGAAATATCTGCCTAAAATCTATTGAGTATGAAAGTGTATGCATATACACTGAGCTATGAACTGCAATTAGTGAAAGTTATTCCTTATAATGTCAAACTATGTGGCAGAATGTGAAATACTGTTATAAATAATGTTTATATCTTGAATGACTACTCATTATTCTACCATCCAACTATGTAATTCAAAAAGAGGTACAACTTTTAAAATACCCCACTTTTTTAAGTTGCTACATCTTTACAAATTATTATAATAAAACCACATACCACAAATGTTGCTGAGATGTTTTCATAATCTACAGCCAACTGTTAACCATAGGTCGTGTTCTAGTTCATAATCTACCCCCACTTAGTTAGTGTAACTAAGCCAAATTCAGGAATTTATGAAATCAGCAGTCTATGGCAGAAGAAGTTCAATAGTCAATTATTTGCGCTAATAAAAAACTTTCAGAGAAATCAAAGGACATGAACCCTAGTCCTGCTCCTACCACTAACTTGTCTTGAAAAATTTACTTTTCTAAGGTTCATTTTTCTCAAGAGTAAAATGGAGTTGACTACTGGTCCTCATGGATCTAGCAATCTGATTAGAGTGTGATGATACAGTTCCCCAGCATTTTGTTCACCTGCTCTAAATCACTCAGTGAATCATTACTACTGGTCTGGAAGGGATTCACTCTAGGTCAGTAACAAGTTCAGTTAATTAGCACTTTACCTCAGCACCATTATCCAACAAGAAGACAGGGAAAAGAACCATGTTTTTATTTAACTAAATAAAAGGCAAAAGCAATCTGGTTACTTCTTTTGTAGGATTAGAGTATTACTCTCTTAATGCAGATTTCAGAAATCTCTGAGATCATCTATAGCGTGATAATTGGTATCACTAACCTGTGCTGTGCTCTTTTCAAGTTTTTGTACTAAATTATCCCAACACCGAGCAAAGTTTTCCAGCCATGCTTCCGTCTTTTTGGTCACTGACTTATTCTTCAGTGTTGAAAGAAGATCTTGTTTGAGTGAATAAAGTTTGTCCATGGATTGTTTTTTCTTTTCTAGATCTGCTTTTAAAACCTGTTAAGAAAGATCACAGATTAAGCCTGGGTTACATTTTTAAGCCACTATACCTCAATCTGCTTTTGCATGTATTTGCTCATTTGTATAGATAAGAAAATACTGCAATCATGCCTGCAAAGGATCAAAAGTTCAGAAAAACATAGGTAGAAAGGTATAATCTATAGAATTTTCCCAAGAAGTTTGAAGAGAAGAGAAAGTCAGGTATAGGATAAAGACCTAGAAGAGGCAATTCAGAGCTACCTTAAAATATCTGAAGAACATTCAAGTGAAAAGGTAATACTGCTTCGAAAGGCAAAACAGGCCAACATGTGGAAGTTGGAACACATGGGTCTTGGATTTCCCCTTAATTCCTGACAGGATTCAAATGAAAACTGACAATTAGGTACCAGGAGTTCTGCAGAAAAGCTAGTGAATTGAGAAAATGAGACTGGCTAAGGAACCTGGCCATGCTGAAATGCTGTGATTATTTGGATATTATTTTTTCCACAATTTTAACATTCTGTTCATTATTTGGAGATAAAAACCTCATTATGTGATTTACTGACCTTAAAATTTTTGTAGCATCCATTCATCAATCAACATCTGGTTATTTGAGTAATTATTTTTTAAAGCTAATTGTAGAGCCCATTAAGTAAAAGAACTAAGTTGCTCGGCATGACATAAATCCTTCAGCATCTCTTTTCAGATTTTGTAAATACTTATGTGTCTTATGGAGCAATTTTTATACCATTTATATTTCCAAATTTACTGTGAGCTGTGGAGAGTTACATACTCCCTTTGGTTGATTTGAAAGGAATCAACTACTGATTATGTGAAATCAGTGATCAGGGCAGTTTTTTCTTTTACTTGACTCAGTAAGCTTGCTGGCACACAGGGAAATTCAATTCCCGAGTACTACACATTACTCCCTGACTTAATTTGTAAACACAGGAAAAGAAGGAAGAGAAATAAAGAGAAAATTATTTTACAGCCCCTTAACAACCCCATATTTTTGGCAGTAGCAAATACAATGAATATAAACTAAACCGTGATACCTGTCTTTCTGAAACAAATGCAAGTTTAAGAACTAACCTTCCGTATAGCAAAGAAATTGTCATGAAACAGATGCACCAACTGCTCATGAACCAAAGTGCCCCCAACATAGAGAAGTTAATCCACCTTCTTGAAAAGGACAATCTAAGTAGCCCATTTTGGCAGGACACCTGCATTGGTATCTCTAAACTGCAGCATGCTCTAGTGTCTCCTTCAATTAGTTTGTCTTCTACTCAGAATCTCCTTCATCTGGTACATGTTATAGTTCAGTCTTCATGCCATTTTTAAGGAGAAACAAAGCAAGATTTAAATTTCATTTCTAATTTTTCCTTAATAATTCAGTATTTTTCTGATTTGGAAGAATACAATAGACCAAAACATGAATTAAAATATTATACATTGAATTCATATCAAAATAAAATTCACAGTGTGGGGGTTTAGCAATAAATAAATGTTTTTTTTGTTTTTGTTTTTTGAGACAGAGTCTCACTCTGTCTCCCAGGCTGGAGTGCAGTAGCATGATCTTAGCTCACTGCAGCCTCCATCTTCCAGATTCAAGTAATTTTCCTGCCTCAGCCTCCCAAGTAGCTGGGATTACAGGCACATGTCACTATGTCCAGCTGATTTTTATATTTTTAGTAGAGACAGGGTCTCACCATGTTGGCCCGGCTGGTCTTGAACTCCTAACCTCAAGTGATCTGCCCACCTTGGCCTCCCAATGTGCTGGGACTATCAGCGTGAGCCACTGCACCTGGCCCAATAGATAGGTTTTGTATATTTATTTTACTTGTTTAATTCACATATTAGCTTTCTGTTAAATTTAAGGGAATATTTGCAATAGTACTAGAACAAAGGTTTATGCTACTGTTCCAAGCTGAGAGCCGTATTTGAATTTATATTCCCCCCAGTTACTTTAAACAGTATCATTTTCCTTTTTTCTTTACCATGGAAAGAGGGACAATATAAATAAAGACACAAATTTAAAAATAAAAAAATATGTAAGTACAATCCTCTTTGGCTTTCTCAGAGTATAAGAAACTATTTTACATAGCCATATGTGTAAGGCTAAAGGGTATACCTATTGTTTAAACAAAATATGTAATGATTTGGAAACATGTCAGAACAGGAGTGTGAAAATTATGTTTAAACAAGAGGATCGCAATAAAAACCTGTGAGTAACATTGTGGTACCTCAACAAATGAAAATAAGCCTCCTGTTTTAATATTAAGCCAAATGAACCAAATGAAAGTGAAAGTCACTATTAAAAATAGAATTAGAGGCCAGACACAGTGGCTCACGCCTATAATCCCAGTACTTTGGGAGGCCGAGTTGGTTGGATCACAAGGTCAGGAGTTCAAGACCAGCCTGGCCAACATAGAGAAATCTCATCTCTACTAAAAATACAAAAATTAGCTGGGCATGTTGGTACATGCCTGCAGTCCCAGATACTCAGGAGGCTGAGGCAAGAGTATCATTTGAACCTGAGAAGTGGAGGTTGCAGTGAGCTGAGATTGCTCCACTGCACTCCAAGCCCAGGCAACAGATGAAGATTTCATCTCAAAAATACAAAATACAATTAGAAAAAGTGCACTTAAGGTAAAATAAAAACAGTGTTATACTTGTGTGATTACTGAATGAATGAATTTTTGTATGTCTATATGACAAAAACACTGAATCCAAATTTCTACCTAGTAAATTCTGGATATGAATTTCAAAAATGATGATGGCAGATTAGTTGTTTGGTCTTAATTTCTTTCCGCTCCTCTCTCTCTCTTTTTTTCTATCTTTCAGTCATCCCCCAGTTCCAGAATGATTCCTCCAGGATTACTAACAAAGGGAGTAAAAGAAAAAAATCCACGATGGTGCCAGACACATCAGATCATAGAATTTGTTAGAATTACCTTGTCCTGTCTATCCATTGATGTCAATTTTTTAGCTTAGATCTTAAACATGCATATTAAATAACTAAAATTTGTTACTAATTATTGCATAGAATATGTATTTGTACATATCAATAATCATAGGTCTATGAGTACAAGAGACCCATAGTACTCTAGAAACTTCAGGTAGCAAAAGGAAGATCTAGAAAATTTGTACAAGGTAAAGATCATCTGGGACAGTCAAAGGAGAAATATATTATCTATTTATTTATTATTATTATTATTTTTAGATGGAGTTTCGCTCTTGTTACCCAGGCTGGAGTGCAATGGCGCGATGTCGGCTCACCACAACCTCCGCCTCCTGGGTTCAGGCAAGGAGAAATATATTTTATTTTTATGGAAGACAGGCATGTGGACCTGCCTCCAAGGTAGGCAGGAAGGTACAGTCAATAAATCAAACTGGGCCACCAGTGGATATGGAGAAGAGACAGATATACTGTTCAAGATGACTTAAAGTGAAAAAATAATGTATCTTTACAAAAGTCCCAGGAAACCTTCAGCTTATTCTCATCGGGAATATTCATAAGAGAATAATGCCAAGACAACTTCTCCTGTATTGGCAAAATTAAATTTTGTACCTGTATTATATGTAATTACTCATTTTATGTAAGATGTGCTCCGATTCTTCCTAATCCCCAATTTGTACTTTGGGATGTTGATCTATCACAGAGGTTCTCATCTTGAAAGAACAACAGAACTGCCTGTATGCCTTTTTAGAATGCCAATGACTAGACTCTATTTCCAGAGTTTCTAAATCAGTAGGTCTGAAGATGACCTAACAATGTGTATTTCTAACAAATTTCCTTGATACTGATGCTGCCGGTCTGGGGAACACATTTTGAGAAACATTGATTCTGTCTGAATAAATTATTTGAGGGCCATCACAGGAGTTGAGGTGACAGTAGCAAGTCATACAACAATGTCAATGGGAACTTTCTCAGTTACCATAAGCACTTCATCCATTTCCTTTGATCCCACAGCCATTTGAGTCTCTTCAATTCCTGGCCACCTGATACACCATACTCTCATGGATCACCATGCTTGCCCAAAGCAATACTTCCCTGGCAAACACCAACAATCCCCACAGCAGCAACACATTTACCCAGGAACAGCTTTCTTCTAGACTGGTAATTTACATGATTCTACAAGTCTAATTCACCTCATAAAAGCTACTGTTTCTTGTTTCCTTTCATTTTCATCCTTGATGCCAAAGCAGTTTAAAACTTAAATCAGCATTGATTATAAAAAATAATAGGTCTACATGATTTGGATATGAATCCCCAAGATTTAGAGCAAATTAAATGCCATAATCCCTACCTCCCACTCCAATGATAAGGAGGAGACAATCCCATGGGTTATTAGTAATAGCATTTCACAACAAATTACACTGATTGTAAATAAAAGAGACTTTTCACACAGTGTATCTATACCTAGATATGCAGGAGAAACTGGTGACAGATGGTACCTGTTTTGGGTCTCAGATTGTGACATATTTTAATGAACATTAAATTCTTATTCACTGCCTGAGTCAGCAGGGGAATTTTACCTCAAATTCTAGACCAGCTGTCAGGTTTTGTTAATTGGCTTAAACTATCAAATGATAAGACCTATAGAAAACATATTTTCTCTTTGTTCACAAGGTGACATAATACAAATTTTAATATAATTGGAAAATTATTGCAACTTTGTTAAAAGAGCATTTTTACGGCCCTGAGGCTAGCAAAGATTTTTGCTCACAAAAATGTTAACATAGAGACACCTGATTGTTAGAAATGACAGTTCTCAGTTGCTATTACATTTTTCCAAGAAATCAAATGATATGAGGAGTTTTGCAATAGACTGTAAGGCCTGGGCCTGAGCCTGGATGTCTTAGTGTTCATTTTAAGTCTGATACTATTGTTACAGGACACAGGCCCTGTGTTTTTTCTTGATCTCGATTTTCTCTTTGAAATAACCTGAGTAGCTGGTCCTAATGAACCTTAGATGTGTAATTAGATTGAAAGAACCCTAGATAAGATGCAAAATATCATCTAGCTTTAACCTATTTGAATTTTGTCAGTTTGTGGCTTCCTAAAAAACACTTTCTTGATTGGCAAGTCCAGTCAAGAATATGTGTAGGAACTTTCACTAGATGTTAAGACTTGGAATTCATTATCATGCAAAACAACTGTAATATTCCGGCATGTGGTATTTTCCAAAGATGGCTGTAAAATAGCCTCATCTCAGGTGCTTTGCTGTAACTTGACCTTGGTGCTTCTCCATGAGGAAACAAAATCTAATTCATTTTCCTTGAATCTGGGCAGACTTGTGACTTTTTCAACTTACAGAAAATGATTGACTATCTCCATTATGATTGAGTGTCTGAAGCACATGGTTCTGTATTTAACTAGGAATATATCTTGGCTCTTAGTCAAAGGGAATGACTGCACTTTGATAATCAGTGGTCAGTCACTTGCTTATTGAAAGGATTCATATTTTGCCTGAGAAGAAAAATGTTTGTAAGGAATATTCTGCTTTAAGGAGATTTAATCCATCCATTCCTCTACATATGGTAAAATTCATCATTAATTTATCCTCTCCTCTCTGTGGCATGTGACAGTGTGTACCACTTCCTACCTTTTTGAAATATTTAGTCTCCTCACTTTTGTGATACCACTTCCCCCTTGTACGCTTGAACGATACCTGCTCAATCTTTTTGTAAACAGCCTGTCCTCTGTCTACTCCTTGTTTGTAGGTACTCCCCCTGGAATCTATTCCTTTTACTTAATGTGTCACTCTGCACAATCCCTCAGAAGCATTTTCATTGCTTCTGAATCAATAACTAGTCATGAACCCTTTTCTGAGATTCTAGTTATGTAAACCAGCTAATGGAAAGAATGGTTGTCCAGAAGACACTCTATACTGAATATATCCAAATCCGAAATAATTATTATTCTTGTCATTCCAGCTACTACTCTTCTATTCTCTCATTAGAGCTAGTAACTCTCCTAGGAACCCAGTCACCCAAATGAAACGTCTGGGAACCGTTTCAAAATTCTGCCTGTTACCACAGATTTTGTGCATCACAACTAACCAGTCTAATGTCTCTTTCCTTATCTTAATACACAGTGCTTCTTAGTTCAGGTATTCTGATTAGTCCTCATACCATCAAACATCTTCCTACCAAAACATATTACCAAAATGCAAATACGATTTTTTTTTCTTTTGCAAACTCTCAATCGCTCCCCAGCAGCAGCAGGCCAAACTACAAATACATCGGATATTCTTGTATGTGTGTGTTGAAACATATACCGATTACTTTTCTGGACTCTGTTCTTGACAGTTACATCATTTAAGAAATTCTATATTCTTTGAGCAATGATTTCTTATCAATAACAACCTAGCTTGTAATAACAAGTAATATATAAGTGAATCTATTTTAAATTAAAAGACCAATGAGGCTTAGCATTTATGGAGCCAAAAATGTATGAAACAAATAAATATCTGCTAAAATGGTACATTTTTAAAGTAACTGGAAACATTTACTTAAGTTTAGAAATGACTCAATTCTTATGAAGTATAATACATAATATTGATACAGATATAAATTGATTTACTCAGGTGAAATTGTAAAACACTATTTAAAATCATTTTGTTTTATAATAGTTTATATCAAGTGAACGTTTAACTGAATCTTTCTAAAATTTTAAGAAATCATAATATAGAATATTTCACGTGAAAAAATAATCTCATAATATCAGACTGCCCTCTTTTACTAGAAATGATAAAATTCACAGAGTAAGAGAAGCTTTCAAGTTATTTTTTTTTAATCATGGAAATTCCTGCTGAAACCAAATGTTTCAATGAAGGCTTTCCTAAAGTCCATTTATTGCCAAAGGAATCTCACTTCTCAAAACACATGGGACACTTATAATCAATGCCATATGATTGGCTTTAATGTGTTTTTTTTTTTTTTAATAACTAGGTGATGTTGTCTGAATCATTGTCTTCTCCAAATCTCATGTTGAAATGTGATTCTCACTGTGGGGGAGTTAGGCCTGGTGGGAGGTGACTAGATCATGAGGGTGTGTGTCTCATGAATGACTTAGCACAATCCCTTTGGTGATGAGTTAGCTCTCATTCAGTTAGTTCACATGAGATTTCACTGTTTAAAAGAATCTGGGACATTCCCCTTATCTCTTTTGTTTCCACTCTTGCCATGTCATATGCACTGGCTCCCCTTCTCCTTTTGCCCTAATTGTAAGCTTCCTGAAGCCCTTACCGGCAGCAGATGCTGGTATCATTCCTCTTGTACAGTCTGCAGAATCATGAGCCAGTTAAACCTCTTTATTTTATAAATTACACAGTCTCAGGTATTCCTTTATTATAACACAAAAATGGACTAATAAACTAAGGTTAAACTCCGTGAATGTGAGGATAATTGTCACTTGTAACTCTCACGTATTACTCTGAGAATCAACTTTAGCCTATTATTTTAGAACTATGCTGCTTAGAACTGTATTAAAGGCTCACAAACATTTCTTAGTATTACTTTATTAATTTTAATTGAAGTCTTATTCTGGTATGCTATATTTCTTCAGCAGTACAACTTTGTTTGAAAAAACCAAGTTGAAAATCTACCTAGAGATTTCCTTACTTCATTTCAGAAAAGTAGCAATATGATATCTTTGAATAATGTATGATCCAAGCAAAAACAATAAACATTTAATATTCAATAGCATAGAAGAGACTAAATAATAGTGACAATATACACTATTGGGTTTTTATAATACTAAAAGCTAGAAAGTACATACAGCCAGTTTTTGAAGACTTGATAACATTTCATTTTGATCCTTAAAGCCAGTTGTGTGAATCTTGTTCACTGCATCTTCTTTTTCTGAAAGCCACGCACTAAAAAGGCACTGGAAGACATTAAAGAATTCCAAGGAATAAATAATTAAACATAAATCATTATTTTTCCAATTTAATATCCCCCTCATGTCTTTTACAGCTAGTTTCTCACACGACTCACCTGTTCTTCAGTAAGACGCTGCCATTTGAGAAGGATGTCTTGTAAAAGAACCCAGCGGTCTTCTGTCCACCTACAGATGTTTGCCCATCGATCTCCCAATACCTGGGGAAGAGGCAATCAACCACAGTATCAGCAAATAATTGTTAACTACATTTTTATTAAAAATGAAATGAATCATTTGCCAAAGTATCTGAGTCTCCTATGTATATGAGAAGTTGGAAAGGACACTCTTCCTGATCTGCTTACATTTAAACAAGTGGTATGTCTTTCATTTGTCTTTATCTCACCAAGTTTTGTACCTTTCCTAGGAAAGCAAAGATACTTATAAGCAATATGAAATGGTTATTATACCACTATATAAAATGTCACCACAGCAAATGTAAGATAGCAAAGATACACATATAGAATTAGGATTTTGCAATGAGAACATGTAAAATATGTATCTTCCTTAGGTTTGAAAATATACCTTAAAGAATAAAAGTCTAACTACTAAACAGAATGCCTCAAAAGACTCTTAATTGAGGCAATCTTGCATAATAAGAATTACCTACCATCTGGATTATAGAAGACAATTCTAAGTTAGACTCCATTCATAGGTAGATAGCTAATTTTTCTCAATTATTATTACAAAAGTATTAAAATTTTCTGTATCTAAACTACTTTAATGAGAAAACTGTTATAATCTCTGAGCAAAAACTACTATATCATTAACATGTCACTAATGTCCAAGAACACAGACTATTTTCACATGTAACATAAACCAACTATCATTGATTTTTGGAAGGGAAATACGGACTGTGATGCTTTCTATGCAAAGAAGCTGTTTAAAAAACATGGCATTTACTTCAACTTCATTAATATGTACCTTATAACCTAAAATTTCAAGTTTTTTTACTTTTTCACATAAACAAGAAAGTTATTGTCTCATATACAGGAACTTTAAAGCTAGAAATAATCATAAAATATAGACATGCCTTATTTTATATAGAATTAGAGCTAGAAAAAATGTAAGTCATATTTTTGAAAAATCTATTCAGTGTCTATAAGTCTCGTAATTTCTATGTTACTTGACACTACATATATGTATCAACCCATCTAGAAGATATTAACACATGATTTAAACAATACAAGTGAAATGAGCATCATTAAAATAATCCACTTATTTCTTTTCTATTTCTTTTCTTTTGTTTGAGATGGAGTTTTGCTCATTGCCCAGGCTGTAATGCAATGGTGCTATGTCAGCTCACTGCAACCTCCACCTCCTGGGTTCAAGCAATTCTCCTGCCTCAGGCTCCTCAGTAGCTGGGGCTACAGGCATGCACCACTATGCCCGGCTAATTTTGTATTTTTAGTAGAGACGGGGTTTCACCATGTCGGCCAGGCTAGTCTCCAATTCCTGATCTCAGGTGATCCACCTGACTTGGCCTCCCAAATTGCTGGGATTACAGGTGAGAGCAACCATGCCTTCCCCAGTCCACCTACTTCTAAGTGACTTAAAGAGTCATGTTTCTTAAATTGTTTGATAAACGATCACTTAAAAAAATACCCACATGGGTATACAGAAGCCTGCAAACATTTTTCTACAGTATTCAAATCATCATATACTTATACGTAGTTCAATCATGAATGAGTTTTCAGTTTTTTTCATAAATATCAATGTTATTGCTTTCAGCATAATACAACTAAATTTTTTCCTTTTTTGTAGTTTCACTCTCTTACTCAATTTATTTTGAATTATGTTAGTTTACAATAAAAGCCAGAGCACTCAAATGTTGATGCAAGATACCCACAGGAATTGGGTCAGCTTAAATCAATGAATTCAATAACTTCAACCATCTAATTATTATGAATGAGTATATGCAGGTTTTTCTAAAACATACTTGAAGTTTCTTTTAGTGAACTTCCTAGTGACCCTGTCAATACGTGTCAGGCAAAATGGCATTTAACAAAATGGTTAATAGATTAGTTGTGGGAGAAAAAAGCTTTGAATGGAAAAAATCTTATCTCTTAACTATATACCATCTGCCTCATATGATGATGCAGATCTAAAAAGTCAAAATGTGGTAAATTTATTGCAGCCCTTCGACTCCAGTGAAGAAGACAGTCAAGGGAAGAAAGAACAAACTCAAGCTATAGCATCACATTCATAAACAAAATAGAGACTTCCAAGTGAATATAGCATCTTCTCTCTAGTGCTATAAGACATACAGATAGTGTCCACTGAAGCAGCATTTTAGGCTTGTAACTCCAATAGGTGGAAATGTATAATTTATTAATTTTTCTGGGATATTCTATAAAACAAATCCAAATCAAGATCCTCTATTCCAGGTTACATAAGATTTTCAAATTTATTGAAATTCTGAGATGTATTAATGCAATGCATTTAATATTACAGTTTTGTTCACTGTATGAATGAATCACAAAAAATGAACATAGTAGTTCCCATTTATCTACAGCTGACATGTTCCAAAATCCTCAGGTGGATGCCTAAAACTGCAGATAGTAAAAATCCCTATATATACTCTTTATAAATTTGTCTTTCTTCACAATTTCACGGATAGAAAATTTGTTTTTACAATAGATTTTGATAAACCCCAGCATATGGTTTTTTTCTTGCCTCATTAAGTTGGAAACTGTTATCTTCTCACATAAAGAAAACCCTTTACAGTTTCTCTTGGGCGTATTTGAACTGTAGATATAACTACTCTTGCACTTTGGGGCCATGACTCAGTAAAATAAGTGTGACTCGAACACAAGCATTGTGATATCATGACAGTTGATCTGAGAACCAAGACAGGTACTGAGTAATGGGTGGGTAGCACTGACAGCACGAAGATGCTGGGCAAAGGGGTGACTCAGTCCTGGTCGGGAAAGAAGTGGGATGGCACACGATTTCATCCTGCTACTCAAAACAGCATGCAATTTAGAATGTATGATTTATTTCTGGAGTTTTTCATTTAATATTTTCTGACAATGGTTCACTGCCAGTTATTGAAGCCAAGGAGAGCAAAACCATGGATAAGGGAGAAAGGGAGGGATTGCTGTAATTTACTACTCTTTTAAGCACATAGGCAACTTATTTAAGACAACTATTTTAAAAATATCACTAAAAGTATCCTTTGTATCCAAATAATGATTATAGATAATTTTGATAATTTATTGAAGCAAGGTTATGATTCAGCTAATATTTAACTTGCAGTTAATGATAGCCATTAATGTATTCATTGGTCATGAATTTATTATATAACAAATATGTATTGAATATTTGCATATGCCAAATATAAACAGAAGATGTTACAGACTGAATCGTGTCCTCTAAAATTTATGTTGAAGCCCTATGCCACACCTACTACATGAGAAGTGCCCATATTTGGAAATAGTGCCTATAAATAGGCCATTAAGTTAAAATGAGTCTATTAGGGTTATCTCTAATCCAATCTGACTGGTATCCTTATGAGAAGACGAGATTTGGACATAGCAAAACACCAGTGATCTGTGAAACACAGAGGAGAGACCATGTGAGGACTCAGAAAGAAGGCATTCATCTGCAAGCCAAGTAGAGAGGCCTCACAAGAAACCAACCCTTGCCAGTACCTAGGTCTTCAACTTCTGGCCTCCAGAATGGTGAGAAAACAAGGTTTTATTGTTTAAACCACCAGTCCATGTACTTTTTAAATGATATCCCTCAAAAGGAATAATACAAAAGACATTTAAGATAGATGGATTCCTTTTTAAGAAATATGTGGCTGTCTGTTAAAGAAAATAATAATACAGGCCAGGCATGGTGGTTCATGCCTGTAATCCCAGCACTTTGGAATGCAAAGGTGAGCAGATCACTTGGGGTCAGGAGATAGAGACCATCCTGGTCAATATGGTGAAACCCTGTCTCTACTAAAAATACAAAACTTAGCTGGGCATGGAGGCACGTACCTGTAATCCTAGCTACTTGGGAGACAGAGGCAGGAGAATTGCTTGAACCAGGGATTTGGAGGCTGCAATGAGCCAAGCCACTGCACTGCAGCTTGGCAACAGAGCGAGACTCCATCTCAAACAAACAAACAAAAAGGAAATACTAATACCAACCCCTTGAAGAATTGCAAATATTAAAGAAGAATATGTATTGGCAAGTACTTCTAATTTGAAACGAGTTATATAAGAGTTGGTGGTTATTTACATTTTGCTTGATCATGGTTCTTTTATCAAATCCAAGAACTCCCAAGGGTCATGTATTTTACTGTATTCACTCTAGAAAGGCACCCATTAAATCTTTACAAATAGATGTTTAGTCTTCAAGTATATTATTTAAAGGTTTCCAACATAAGAGAGCATACATATCGTTTAGTAACATATTCCATTGCTTAAACCTATCTTCCTCTCAGAAAATACTCAATGTATTGAATCTAAGTCACTTCTGCAGCAATGCAGGAATGGTGGTTTTTACTGATCTCAGCGTAAGTAGGTAAGTGAATGAGAAATTAACTTGTTCATATGCTGTACACATCTACCCATAGACTTTTGCAATGCCATATGCACAAGTAGAAATAGTTGTCCCAAAATGCTTGAGTTTATGGATTTTTCTATTTATTGCTTAGCAATACTGGCCTTAATTTGAATTACAAGAATGAAGCAAAGAAATTGGAAGATTACCCCTCAGCTCTAGAATCACTCAGAGATGCTGGTTCCTATCTTTCCTGAATAAGTCTAAACAAATTGTTAAACAAGTGTAAGAAATTAGATCAAATGGAACTAACAGGAAGGTAATATATTTCTTAAAGAACCACTGTATTAGAATTAGAGACCTCTTCTCTAGAGAAATAAAAATATATAACTTCAACTCAGTGCTTCTCTGAGTTTCTATTTATGTCTAGGAATCCCTTGAGCTTTTTCAAATAATACTTATATTTATAGAGCTAAACACTATACATATAAATGTAAAACCAATGAATTATAAAGTCTCACAAAATGATAGAAGTTATTTTTTATTTGTGGTCTCATTTTGTCTCAGCAATAAGTTAAGCTAAAGGTCAGCTCACTTTGTCTAACATATTTTCATGGACTAAATCACAACTCCATTATCGTCCATGCTCAGATCCACAAAGGGG